TGTATCCCAAAACTCCTCAGTTTCTCCACCAGAATATCATGGGGCACTTTGTCAAAGGCCTTGCTGAAATCCAGGTATACCACATCCACTGCATCCCCTCCATCTAGCCATCGTGAAACCTTGTCATAGAATTCCACAAGGTTTGTCTGGCAGGACCTGTTTTTGCAGAAGCCATGTTGTGTGGCTGTCAGCCTCCCTTCCCTATCTAGCATCACTAGATCTCTCTCTATTACGAGCCTTTCCATTGTTTTCCTACAATGGACGTAAGGCTAACAGGTCTTTAATTTCCCATGTCCCTTCTACTACCCTTTTTGAAGCTTGGGACCACTGATGCCACCCTCCAGTCCTCTGGAACTTCACCCGTTCTCCACGAGGTCTCAAAAATGGAGGCCAGCGGGCGTGAGAGAACCCCTGCCAACTCTCTCTCAGGTGTAACCCATCAGGGCCTGGTGCCTTTGTAATGTCCAATGCTCCGAGGAGCCCCTCGACTTCAAGGGGGGTGACTCTAATCTGTGCCTCTAAGTCCCCAGCCTCATCTAATCTCCTATGCGGATATCCCCCGTCCTGCTTTGGGGAGAACACAGAGGCAAAATAGTCATTTAGCATCTGTGCCTGTTCCCTCATATCAGTCACTGGATCTCCTTCCTCCTTATTTAGTGGTCCCACCACTTGTCTCCCCTTCCTCTTCCTATTTACATGCTGAAAGAAGCCCTTTTTAATGCTCTTGATATTCTTGGCAAGTCTCAGCTCGTAATCAGCCTTAGCCTTGCGAAGAATCCTTCTGCAACGGGCCTCCTCCTCCCGGTATACCCTTTTGTCTATTTCCCCCAGTACCCATTTCCTGTGGAGGTTCCTCTTTCATCTAATCCCTCTAACCACCTCCTTTCGCATCCATGGTGGCACTCTCCTCCGCCTCCCCACCTTCCTGACTAGAGCTATTGTCAAGGCTTTCGCCTCCAAAACCTCCCTTTTGAGTGCTATCCACCCCTCCTCAACTCACTTACCTTCCAGTAACCTATCCCAGGAGACTTTCCCCAGTCTGGCCTTCAGTTGGCCAAAGTTGGCCCTCTTGAAGTCCCAGCTTCTAGCGTTTGACCTGCTGCCCGTCCGCAGTCCCCTGATCTCAAAGCAAAGGATGGAGTGATCACTTGCATCCAGAGCTCCCCTAATCTGTACTTCATCTATCAGATCCTCCCTATTGGTCAAGACCAAGTCAAGGATGTTTCCCCCCATCGCTTCTCGGACCCTCTGTGTGAAAAATGCTCCCTCAATACCTTCTAGGAAGCGATGTGACCTGGCTGTCACCGCTGAGTGAGTCTCCCAAGTAATATCCAGGAGATTGAAATCTCCCATAATTACTGTGTCTCTCCCCCAAGACATCCTTAGAAACTGGCCTGTCAGGACATCATCCAGGGTCTCAAGTTGACCTGGAGGGTGATAACATACCCCCACTGTCAGGTCTCTTTCCCTGTCAAAACCCCTAAGTTTCACCCAGACTGTCTCTACCGAATCCCCATCTGTGTTGCATTCTATCTCACTGCATCCTATCCCTTCCCTGACGTATAAAGCCACGCCCCCACCCCTCTTTCCCTTCCTGTCCTTTCTAAAAAGGTGATACCCTTCTATGTTCACATCC